CTGTACCTGTGGAGACCCCCATTCCCTGGCCGGGCCCCCCAGGGGGAGGGGCTGCAAGGAGAACCCAGAACAGAGTGGGTGCGCTGTGTGGTTTCTGGGATTTGGGGCCACTTCTTTGGCCCTGTATCCCCCCGCCTTACTGTAGGGGAGGGGACCTCTTTGACCTCTGCCCCCTCCATGCCGTACCTGTGGAGACCCCCATTCCCTGGCCGGGCCCCCCAGGGGGCTGGGTGCTACCCCCCGCCTTGGGCAGGATGGCGGCGGGAGAGGCGGGGGCGGCAGCCACGGTGTAGACCACGCTGTGAGCGGCCGGCGGGGCGGCAGGGTTGGTCCCGGCGGGGCTGGAGTAGATGGCGGTGATGACATGGCCCTGCCCGGCACAGGAAGTTGGCAGCTGGGGGCTCTGCAGCGGGGAGACCCCCACTTGCCCCGGGGCCAGGAGTGAGCCTTGGCCTGCGGGGAGAAACGAGTGCTTTATAAAGCGACATTTCAATAATATTTCTGTTGGGTTGTTGTAGGTTTTTCCGGGCTATATGGCCATCTGTCAGGAGAGAATGTCTCTAGAACATTGCCATATAGCCCGAAAAAACCTACAACAACCCAGTGATTCCGGCCATGAAAGCCTTCGACAATACAATATTTCTGTTTATAGGAGTTTTGCAATGCAGGGAAAATTATTATTACTATTATTATTGAGAGAGAGATGGGGGCTCAGCCCCAGAGGCCCCCTGAGTCCTCGCTTCCCTCCCTCCCTCCCTCCCTCCATCCAGGTGGGGCCTTACCTGGGAGCAGGGGTTGGACGATGGCCTGCCCGTTTGGCCCGATGGTGGTGAAGCCCAGGGCCATCTGCGCAGGGCCAATGGGGGACTGGACGTAAGTGGCCGCGGCTGGAGGGGTGCTGGGCTGCGCCTGGGGGGCCGACTGGACGTAGGTGATCCTGGGCAGGGGGGGGGGGAGAGAGGGGTCACCATTGCAGCCAAGGGGGCTTATTTATGCTCAGCATGTGTGTCCGTGTCCCCCCATCAAAGCCCTGTCCGCACCTGGTGGAGGAGGGCAGCAGCACCTTCTGGGCCTGGGTTCCCATGGCGACGGTGGCCCCTTGAAGGGCGGCTGGGCTCAAGGGGGGCACCAGGGTGGCCGCACTCTGCGGAGGGGGCTGTGGGTGGACCACCGGGTGGACCGGGGTGAGCTGGATGATCTGGAAGGAAGGCGGGCACTGTCAGGGGAGCCCCTGCTGACCAACCCCACTGGACCTTAGGGAAGCAAGCGGAACTCCCCGCTGAGCCCCAGATCAGTGGGGTTGGGAGGGGGGGAGGGTCCCTGGGTGGGAAGCAAGGGGGTCTGTAGGGACCTATGGGGACCCCCTTCTGTACTGCAGCTCAAGGCGCATCCTGCACAACCCTGTCCGGAGCAGCCTTCACAGAGAGGCTCCTGTCACTCCTTGCAGCCCCCTCCCCACCTCAACGCAGACCCAGACCCAATTGCAGGGCGGGGGCTGACCTTGCTGGCGGCCTGGCTCCCGTTCTGCACCGGGACCGAGAACGGAGGGGAGACCAGGGGCAGCTGGGTGGCTGTGGTGGTCCGGACGGCTACCTGTGGGGCGGCCATGGGCACCAGGACCTTGCCCTGCACCTGCAGCCCCGCGGGGGGCACGGCCGTCCCAGGCGCCAAGGGGGGGTGATGGGCCGTGCTGCCCGGTGAAGGGGCCTGGACCGGAGACACGGATTGCGCTGCAGGGAGGGAGGAAAGAGGGACAAGGATGAAGCAGATCCAAACAAGCAAGGAGATCCCCCTCCCCACGGGAGGAGCAGGCAAGCCCCCCCCCCCCTCTCACCTTTGCCCGCGGAAGCCATGATGGTGACACTCCCGCCGCCGCCACCGCTGTTCCCAGGTCCTGGCTGGAGGATGGGGAAGGGGGCCTGGGGGGCGGCCAGCACCTTCCCATTGGCCGGAGGGAGGGCGAAGTGGATGCTGGGGGGCGCTCCCACGGCTGGTGCTGCTCCGCCTAAAGCCGGCCCCTTCCCCCCGGCGGAGGAGACCTGCAGCGGCTGCGGCAGTGAGGGCAGGATGTACTGGACCTGCGCGATGCCCCCGGCCTTGGCCCCGGTCCCCGAGAGCAGGCCTTGCGGCTGGAGAAGGCCGAGCGGGAGGGGCCCGTTGGGGCCAGGGGGGCTCTGGGCGATGAACTGCACGGCAGGTGCGGGTGGGGCCAGGGCAGCCCCTGGGGGGAGTACTGCCACCGGGACCCCCGCCCCCCCAGCACCCCCCTGCGCCCCCACCAGCAGGTTGGTCACCAGCCCCCCTGGCCCAGCAGGAGGGCCCTTCCCCACGGCGGCCAGGCCCGGCCCCAGGAGTGAACTGGTCAGCAGGTGGGAAGAAGAGGGGGACTGGGCGTTGCCGCTGGAGACGGGTGGTGGGGGGCCCTTCTTCTCCGCATAAAATACCCCCACGCGCCCCATGGAAAGGCCCCCACCCTCAGGCTGCTTCACACTGATTTCCGTCGGCGGGTGGGGGCTGAGCAGGGGCGGCCCCTCCCCGGACCCCCGCAGGAAGGATTTGCTGGCGATGGGCACTGGGGTGCTGCTGACGGGCCGGACCACGTTGGTGACCACGGTGGAGGCCGCTCGAGTCATGCCGTGCGGAGTCCCGCTGTAGCCGATGACACCCCCGCCCAGGGGCCCCGTGGAGGGGGCCGTCACCAGCACCGTCCCCGAGGGCAAGCGGGCGGTGTCCGGCAGCACCACCGCCTGAACCAGGCCCCCGCCGGCCGAGGAGATGACCGAGTGCAGGGGGGCTGCTGCCTCACACTCCGGCCCGGCACTGTCTGCCCGTTTCCGCCGGTATGAAGCCAAAGAGGGGTCGAAGCGGGGCTCCGGGCGCTTGGCTGCAGGTGCGTTGCTGATTGGTCGGGGCGCCCCGCGTGAGTCCTGGGCCTGGGCCTTGAAAGAGGAGGAGGAGGGGCTGGGTGCCACCTGGAAAGAGCCGTAGGGTTTGGGGAGGAGGGGCTGCTGCTGCTGCTGGGGGTCGTGGCCGGATGTGGGCGGGGGAGGGGGGTCCAAGTCCAGGGCCGGAGGGGGAGGGGGGCCGGAGGCAGGGGACGGAGCAGCTGAGCGGATGACCGGGGAGAAGCGCTTCCGGGCAAAGTCCTGCAAGCGAAGGAGAGTCTGCCATTAATAGGGTTCCAGGGCCAAATTAACCCTAATTCCCCCCAGTAGCGACNCTCGGGCCCCTCCCCCACGGAGCCCTCGCTGTCCTCGCTGTCCGTCACCCGCTCCTTGCACTTCAGGTCCACGTCCGGAGGGTTGAACCCGTCTTCAGCTGAAAGGGGTAAAGTGAGGGAGTGAGTGAGCGAGAGGCCTTCACACACATACACAGAGAGGGTACCCCCCCTCCCAAAACTCCCAGGAGAGACAGACAGTGGGATTTATTTATTTATTTACTGCGCTTATATACCGCAATTCTCAGCCCCCAAGGGCGACTCATTGCGGTGTACAACATGAAAAAAAACCAAGTGCAATCTACAAAGCATAGTGCAAAACAGTGTACAATTCATCATCATCATAAAAACATCTTAACAAATTTACTACTACATTCCGAATCGTCTCATCGTCAAGCCACAATCCGATCTCATTTCCGGTGTTCCATTCCTATGGTCAATTGCCAGTCATTGCACTATTGATCAAATGCCTTCTTAAATAGCCAGGTCTTTAGCTTCCTGCGGAATATTAGCAGGGAGGGGGCTAGCCTGATGTCCACGGGAAGGGTGTTCCACAGCCGAGGAGCCACCACCGAGAAGGCCCTATCTCTCGTCCCCGCCAGCCGTGCCTGTGAGGCAGGCGGAATCGAGAGCAGGGCCTCCCCGGAAGATCTCAAAGTCCTCGTGGGCTCATAGGCCGAGAGGCGGTCAGTTAGGTATTTTGGGCCGGAACCGTTTAGGGCTTTATAGGCCAATGCCAGCACCTTGAATTGAGCCCGGTAGCAGATCGGCAGCCAGTGGAGCTGGTACAGCAGGGGGGTTGTATGCTCCCTACGTCCCGCTCCTGTTAGTGTCATGGCTGCCGCACGTTGGACCAGTTGGAGCTTCCGGGCCGTCTTCAAAGGCAACCCCACGTAGAGAGCGTTGCAGTAGTCTAAGCGGGATGTAACCAGAGCGTGGACTACCGTGGCCAAGTCAGACTTCCCAAGATACGGGTGCAGCTGGAGCACAAGCCTAAGCTGGAGGGATGGAGGGATGGGGAGGGAGGGGCCGGCAGAGGAGGAGCGGGCTCTCATCCCAGAGGCAGGATTACGGCAGACCTTCAAATACACTGACCGCAGATGACAGTGCCAATACAGCAGGGATTTGGGGGCCGGGGGGGGGGGGAGTTCTGCTCCAACGGCAGCTGGAACGGCGGCAGGAAAATCCCAACGACTGGTCTGATGTCCACAAAAAAGCCCGCTCAAGGCAGGCGAAGCAAACATCGGGATTTAAACCCCGCGGGCATAAACAGAGGCCCCGAATGACGTGAAGGCCACAGCCGGAAAGCCACCTTCAAATCAGCCTCACCCTCTGAATCACTCAGTTCGGCCATTGGCATGTTTGGCAGGAGTGGTTCTGCTTCTCTGAGGGAAAGGGAATGGACGCGCCAGGGCATCCTGCCCACTTCGGAGCGCTGGCCTGACTTTCCCGGCATATTCCCAGCAAGAGGTCGAAATCCAGGGAAGGTACAGAGCAGAGAACATGCTCACCAATGACGTCGTCGTCGCCCTCTTCCTCGCAGATGACCATCCGTTCCTCGTCGCTGGTCATGTCCTCGCTGGTGGTGCGCTGGGAGCGTGAGGTGCGCGAGGCGTGTGGCGGCGGGGGCAGCAGCGGGTGCCGGGGCCCCTCCCCTGGCGCCGCAAAGGGTGACCCCGAAGGCACCAGCCCCACAAACGGGCTCTTCCCACTGGAGAAGAGCGGGGGCCCCGGACACACCTGTGGGGGAGGTAGCACAAGGAGACCCTCAGAGACACCCCAAGAGGAGGACAGGTAGCGGGTGGGACAGGGTGGGTGGG